CACTATGAGTTATGATTGAAATAATATTGTATTTATTTTTAAAAACCTACTTGAATCCCTTGATAATCGATTATTTCTTCTCTCGAAATTCTGTAAACATTTTAAACTGCTTGAATCATTATACTATCACTCAACATGAAGTATAGATGATCGCTGACAAGTTCATTTATACTTCATGTAGAGTGATAGTATAATATGATTCAAGCAGTTTAATATGTTTACAGAATTTCGAGAGAAGAAATAATCGATTATCAAGGAATTCAAGTAGGTTTTTGAAAATAAATACAATATTATTTCAATCATAACTCATAGTGGGGCCCCTTGTGACAGAACCTCTTTTAAGAATTCGAAAAAGACAGAAAAAGACATTGAAAACTTCCTTCAAATAAACCGCCTACAAGCACAGAATTAATACTACACAGAAGTCGATCACCATTGTTTTTGCGTAAACGTTATTCGTCATGATTCCGTCACTCAGCAAGTACCGTAAACAGAAGCAGACACCCTCCTGGACATGCGCCAGGGGGGGACTGCTTCTGTTTACGGTACTTGCTGAGTGACGAATCATGACCATGATCATGTCGAATAGAGCTTACGCAAAAAAAATGGAGATAGACTTTTGTGTAGTATTCTGTGCTACAAGCGTGTCTGGAGGTCAGATCACTCGTGTTTATATCATGATTGACAGACTGAGCGCTCTTCGCATGCGTGAAGAGACTGGGACTGGCATTCGAATTTCCGGTTGGAGGTAGCGTTCCAGTTCTATTCAGTTCAATGGAAAAAGCTCATATTTCATCAATATCCATCAATATCCATAACATTCCCTACGTCGGCCATTGTTGTTTTTGTCCATTTTATTTTAGTTATAACAGAAATAGAATCTTGGATAGATCAAGAAGACTGTCATTCAGTCAGTCATACTGTTGATTTTGAAAGTCATTCAAATGATGCTTCACTAAAATATAAGCAGCTTTCATCGATGACGAAGTAATGAACACTGCTGCCGTCGGCAACAAATTACGTTATGAATGTGAGTTGTGCAATAAAAGATTTTCATGCCCAAGCAATCTAGCAGCACATACAAATACACATACTGGGGACAAACCTTATGAATGTGATGTTTGCAAGAAGCGATTTGCACACCCAAGCACCTTAGCTGGACATAAAAGGATACATACAGGTACAGTAGCAAAGCCTTATGAATGTGATATTTGCAAGAAGAGATGCCCAACTCCAAGCAAACTAGTAATACATAAAAAATCACACGACAAACTTTATGTGTGCGATGTTTGCAAGAAACGATTTTCACTTCCAAGTGGCTTAGCGACGCACAAACGAATACGTCAATGTGGAGACAAACCTTTTGAATGTGATGTCTGCAACAAACAGCTTTTGAATGCAAAGAATCTCGCAGTGCATAAAAATACACATGACAAATCTTATGAATGTGAAATTTGCAACAAAAAATTCTCACGTTCAAGCGACCTGGTTAGACATAAGAGAACACATACCGGAGAGAAGCCCTATGAGTGTGATGTTTGCAAAAAACGATTTTCAGACTATGCTAACTTGTCAGTGCATAAACGAATACACACTGGGGACAAACCTTATGAATGTGATATTTGCAAATTGAGGTTTGTCCAGTCGTGCCACTTAGTCCGACATAAAGTAACGCATTCTGGGGAGAAGCGTTATCAATGTGATGTTTGCAGCAAAGCATTTTCCGTGCCTGTTGAGTTAGAGAGACACAAAAGAAGAAAACATACTGGAGACAGACCACATGAATGCGATGTTTGCAACAAAAGATTTCTACATCCAAGTGACGTAATAGCACACAAGCGAATACACACCGGGGAGAGACCGTATGAATGTGATGTTTGCCATAAACAATTTTCAGTATCCAGCAATTTAGAAAGACATAAAAGAGTGCATAGTGGGGTTAAACCTCATGAATGTGATGTGTGCAAGAAACGATTTTCCCAATCAAGCCACTTAGGGAGACATATAAATGCATCACATAAGGGATTTTCAAACCCAAGCAAGTTAGCTGGACAATATAAATCATATGAATGTGATGTTTGCAACAAACGATTTTCTGTTTCCAGTAATTTGAAAACACACAAAAGGACACATTCTGGAGACAAGCCATATGAATGTGCCGTTTGTGGTAGAAAATTTTCGCAATCTGGCCACTTGGTTAGACATACAAGAACACATACCTGTGACAAACCTTATGAATGTGATGTTTGCAAAAAACGTTTTTCAGACCAAGGTAACTTTGCCTTTCATAAACAAATGCATACTGGAGACAAGCCCTATCAGTGTGACACTTGCACGAAAAGATTTTCAGACCCAAGTAACTTGAGATCACATAAAATAACACATACTGGTGCCAAACTGCATGAAGGTGATGTTTGCCAAAAAGGGGACTTGAAAAAGCATAGCACAACTGCCACAACACATAATGGTGAGAAACCTTTTGAATGCAGCATTTGCAAGAAAACGTTTTCAAGATCAAGCACCTTAGCAAGGCATAAAGGAACTTCACGTACATGCAAGGAGACAGACCATGGGAGACCCAACCAATGTGATTTTGGTCAGGATTTTGAGGAAACAGAGCCAGCTGATATGGGATATGTTTGTTCCTTGTGCAGTTGTGCATTTGATAATCTTATAAAGCTCCAAAATCACATGGAAACTCATAGAAATGTACAAACTGACAAATGTGTTCTATACAAATGTGTTCTGACAATGGACATTGGAAATGAAGAATCCTCCAGATTGCCAAAGTGCAATGAATCGGGGTCAGTGTATGGCCAGGAATGGGCATAATATATGAATTTTCCCTTTCATTCTATTTATTTAGTGGAAATTTTATTGTTAAAGTGGAAGTGAAGTCCGTTCTGCACATCGGTTCTGCTCATAAGTGATAACAATGTGAGGACCCTCTAATTAAACATTGCCCAAATTTCGAATGTTCCGAATTTTTCTGAACATAAACTGTATTTCATATTCATTTAGAAGCATAGCGAACCAAAATGGTGAGTACATCATATTTTTAAAATTACAGCAGTTCAAAATGTAAACAAACCGTTTGTTTACATACCGACTTGACTTCCACTTTAACGTTTTCTGGTTTATTTTCTTACAGTGTTACAGTCAAACCGGATGTTCGTTTCCACGGAATATTGCAACATTGTTGGGAATATTGCAATTTTGATTGCGAGATTGCTCTGAGCAAGTTGCAACTGACGTGATCAAATTACAAGTTGAAATTCCCAATCAGATTTGTAAACAAAGTCTCTGATTGGCTACTAGTAGCAAATAAGAACCAATCAAATACTCTGAGCAAATGGATTGGTTCTTCTTTGCTACCAGTAGCCAATCAGAGACTTTGTTTACAAATCTGATTGTGAATTTCAACTTGCAATTTGATCACGTCAGTTGCAACTTGCTCAGAGCAATCTCGCAATCAAAATTGCAATATTCCCAACAATGTTGCAATATTCCGCGGAAACAAACATCCGGTTTGACTGTAAGGCAGTGTCCAATGTTTTGTGTTCTCAGCCATTCCATGAAAATGGGTCATTCCAGGAAACATCCACACCTCCCCCACAGAGGAAATTGAAAGTTGGGGGTATTTTGTGGGTGGAATGGGGGGATTTTCCCCCAAAATCCCGAATTCTCTCGACCCCAAATCTGAAAATAGCTAAATTCGGCGGGAGGGGGAGCATTTCCCCCCAAAATGGGGGAATGAATCTATTGAATATCATTATTAATATTAAACTGGTACAAAGTGGGAAGGCATATAACTTTGAGTATAAAAATGGGTGCACTTAGAGGTGCAGTTGGTGAACCCAGACATCATTTCTATCCCCAGTCACTTGGAAATAGGTGAGCATTAACCTGCGATCAGGCCTATAAATAAATAAATAGGCCTGATACAAACCTTAACAAAAGTCCATGCCATACAACTGTATTTCGGTTGTAAATCTGATTGGTCTATGAGACAAAAGATTTTTTAATCTGTCATTTGATTGGTTGGTGCTCATTAGATTATACTATTGTTGTTGATATATTTTATAGTGACCACAACTGTAATTAGATTGTTGTTGTTGTTGTGTGAAATTTAAATTTCTCCTGCAACATTTTGATTGGATACAAAATATAAACTTTGCTGTGGGTGGAAATAAGCGATCGGATTAAGGTTTGTGTCAGGCTATTATTTGTAAAATAGAGCCTGATACTCAGGTTAGGTGAGCATAGGAAATGACGTCTGGGTTTGTGATAGCCTGCGAACAGGCTCTCAAGCTGAATTGAGAGCCTGCATCGATGACTAATGAATTTGAATATCTGCCCCGTAACGTTCGTTTTTCCAAATATGGAATGTCTATCCTTATATGGTGTTGTTTACAACTTTCGTGCAAACTAAATTTAGACCGTGCAAACTAAATTTAGACTGTACAGTTTATACTGTTTTTCGAAATATAAGATATTCAAGCAAAAGTTCAAATGTTTTAAATACTGTTTTCTCAAAACAGAACATTTCGTGCTTTGAGATAAGACGGCCAAGACCAATTTGATCAGTTAATGTGTTTTTTTTATGCATAGTGCTTCAGCAGTTGACATATATAGAGCTCAGCGGAAACATATAAATTATAGCATCTGACCAATGAGAATTTCGCGTCACGATTTGAGACGCAGATATTCAAATTCATTAGTCATCGATGCAGGCTCTCAATTCAGCTTGAGAGCCTGTTTGCAGGCTAGGTTTGTGACCATAGGAGGGAGGAATCCCCCCCCCCCAAAAAAAAATAAAAAAACCTGCAATTTGGGGGGAGCTCCCACCCAAGTCCCAAAACCTAAACTACCCCTGTTGAAGCGCCCCCCCATAACAACTTCAGATGTCCTATGCACAAAATTTTCTCTCTCCCTCCGGACGACAGAAATTTCCTCCTTGGGGGGAGTGTGGATATTTGCTGCAACAACCCAATGGGGCATATTGGCATATATTCAGTTATTTTACTGTATTGTTAATTGTTCTTCTCAACGGAACAGCAGTAAACGTGATTATAGAAAAGCAATTTCGTGGCACCCTCCTGGGAAATAGATTTTCTGCAGTTCAAATTTCATTGAACCATAGATGCTTAATTACCACAAAAAGTTCCCAAGGAAAAAACGTGCCCAACACCGAGAAAATGGGTGATCAGTGATTATCCTCTATTAAATTGTATTACAGCAAGAAAATGTAAAATTTTGTATTCAATTACAACAAAAATGACTTGCATTATCAGAAAGCTTACAAAAACCTACATATAAGACATTTAAACAGAGTTTTTTATATCTATAATTGTTTTCGAGTTATACGCTTTTCAAAACACGTTTTTGACCTAGTACCCAGGCCTTATTGCGACATTTTGGTCCAATTTTCACATTTGAAACAGCAATAACTCAAATACTGATATTTTCTGTGTTGGTGCAATGTACTCAGGTGAATAAGATGCTTGTGATGTTACTCTGAGTGTATATCCACACCGGGCAAGCTTGAAAAATATGCCTGACCACGGTGGAAATCGAACCTACGAAAATATCATTACGAAAATATCATTATTACTAGATTAAATTGATATCGAAGGAACTAGATTCTGTTCCGAAATATCACATGCTCGAACCGACCAGACCGCGTAGCTCAGTTGGTAGAGCATTGCCATTGGGCTAGTATTCCAAAGGTCGTAGGTTCGATTTCCACCGTGGTCAGGCATATTTTTCAAGCTTGCCCGGTGTGGATATACACTCAGAGTAACATCACAAGCATCCAACTCAAATACTATTTGAAAAATGAAAAAACTGTTTAAAAGTCTTATATGCGGTTTTTTGTACGTTTTCCGATGATGCAAGTCATTTTTATTGTAATTGAATACAGAATTTCCCATTTTTTTGCTGTAATACAATTTAATAGAGGATAATCATTGATCACCCATTTTCTCGGGATTGGGCAACTTTTTTGCTTGGGAACTTTTTTTGGTAGTGATGTACCTATATGCCTTTCAAATAAACCCCAAACCAAGTATTTCCCACATGGGTGCCACGAAGCGAAATAATTTTGGCCAACAGCCCACGGCCTACTGGCAAATTTAAAACTCAAGGTGTACTTAGACTGTTGAGTGAAGTACATAAATTACAGATTTCTGCAAGGTATTTATTCAGTAACCTGAAACTACCAGTTAGAAAAAGGAGCACAATAGACCTTACCGATTATCCTCTTTTACCCCCAATTGTCTTGTTTCCATGTTAACTTATTTTAGCATGTCAGGGGCAGATAAAGATTATATCCCCATGTTTTCCTGGACGAATTTGTTTCTTGCTGTTCTTAGGCCCAATAACAAAGTAATTTTCAACCCTACTAAGCACAAAACATGAGTAAGTATTTGACATGAAAACGAGGCCATTGGGTAAGAGAGAATAATCGGTAAGGTCTATTGTACAAACACTACAATCGACTCTAACATCAATTCGTCTCATCAGTCCAATCAGATTTCATGTACCTTGGGTTTGGAAATGTCAAATGGTACCAGCAAAGTGAGAGTATCGCGTACCTATACGGCTACGTGGTACTTAGCTGAAAATAAAGAAGCACTAGACCGTAATATTGGCGTACCTCCGGTACGTAAGTACACGATTTATTGCACCCTGTCCATTAGTATACATGAATTGAAACAATTTTGGCAGCTATGCCTATATGTAAAACGACTATTAATTTACAACATAGCAATATTTTATGCTGTTTAATGGTAATTTTAGCATATTTGTTTTTTAAATACATGTTTTTTAAATACATATTGTTAAAGATGTTGACATAAGTAATCAGTCCTGTACTAGACCACTAGAAACATAAGTAATCAGTCCTGTACTAGACCACTAGACCTCTTTATCTACCCCACATTAAGCTATGACGCTGCTCTGGACCAAGCTAAATGTTCGACATTACGCGCAAGACGTGATGGTTTGTGCATAAAAACTTTTGACAAAATCAGACAGCCTGATTCACGCCTTAATCATTTAATACCACCTTCTCGGGCCAATGGACACAATTGTAATTTAAGGTACGGAAATAGATTAACACTGTTTCCTTGTAACACGGAGCGCTTTAAGAAAAGCTTTTTTCCTACTATGTGTATTCAATCACATAATTTATAAATTTTGTAAATTTTGTAAATTTAAAAGTTCTTTCGATATTAATTCATAGATCAGTAAACTATTGTTGTAATATAATGCCAGTAACACAAGGTACTTTTTAATACTTTTAACTAAAGTTTGTAAATAATTTCGCAATTCGCTTTCATCGAGCGCGACGATTTTTATAATAAACCATTAATAATAGATGCACCCTTTTATCAGCACGCGAGGTCATAAAATTATGCCATAAGGTTTTCTCATTCTTTGTCAACTAAAGCAAATTCTTTGTATAGTTTTGGTACTTTTAGCAGGAAGAAAATTAGAAAAATATAGCATAGAAATATTTGAATTGCTACCATTTCCGCCCAGTTTTTAGTCCATTATCTGAATTTTTGACTGACAACTGACAAAATATCCTAACTGACAACTGAGAAATGATGAAAAATGATGAGTCAGCATGTTGCAGTAACTGACTACTGACAGCTTGCAATATATCGCACTGACAACTGACATCTGGCTTAAATTTTAGCTGACAACTGATACCCAAAGACCCCCATTAAGACCCTCTTATTTGGGCATCTCAGTCGATATAACTAATTGTTGAAGGGATTTGTAATTTTAATATTTTATAGATTTGTTAGACCTAATTAACCAGGAGCAGTTGCGAAAAATGCAACTTTTGGTTAGAGTTCGACAACTGACTCTCTAGCTCAGAGGGTTCCTGCCAGAGGGTCTACCCAATGTATAAAAATCAACTCGACATTTCCGTCTACACAAATCCCTAATGTTGACAATTAGTTTTATGTTACATGACCAATATTAATATCAATGATGATATAGGCTCATTTAGCTATATTCGGTGTCCTTGCATGTTTGTCAATATTTAACAGATTTATAAAGAAATATAATTATATAGTCATTTAAAATATTTGTGTGTGTTATTTGCCAATGTCAATGATGTGCTGTACATACATATGTGTGTTTCTTTTCTATGTTTAAGTACATAATACCCAGATCTGAAAGGTGTTTAACGAACACTTTGAAATTTGCGTTGAGGTATTTTAAGCCCTATGCCCCTATGGCTATCCTATGGTTATTGTTGAAAGCAAGTATCTTCAATAATTATCAAAACCCCTAAATATTTTATGTAAATAATTTTATGAAAAAAAATGGATACAAATAAAGATTGTTGTTGTTATTGTACTGTTGTTATATCGAGTGAGATGCCCAAAGGCCAAAATCCTAATAATAGAAATGCCCTTTTCTAGTCAAAAATATGTCTACAGTGATTAACTATCCCCATCTGTAGGGTTCTACCAGTTATAGGTGTAGCTCTAGCGCTTCTCAAATCGAGATAAAATGACCGAGGTTAAGTTTTATGATTTTGTTGATGAATAGACAGAATCCCAAAAAGTGTACGAGCCCATTCGCAATCCACACAAAAAGTTCTCATAAGTTGTTGAAAGCCCTTCAGAATAAGAGTCACACACAAATATTGATTTTGTATTTTTGTTCAGCAGTTTACGCCTTGTACTTCTGAGGCTGTATCTCAATTGGTACGCAAGAATTCAGACTCCTACATCAAATACATAACTGCAAAAATAGCACTACAACATATATTTTTGTAGATTTTTTGAGGGAGATCCTCCTCCTTTTTGTTAAAACCTCATGGTTGCTTGAACGGAGTTAAACCCGCTTAATTATACCACGTGCACTCTCTAATTGTAATACGATCGAAGTTGAAAATGAAACTTTCAAATTTCCAGTACTGCACACTTTGTCACTTTCACAATCAATACTGCTGCTTAATTGTCAATTGAAAATGCGCAAAACACTAAAGTACGCTCTGCGCGCGCGAGTTTTGAGACTTTGCTTAAAATATTGCCAATCCATGCGTCATGGGTGAAAACCGTGAAATAAATAATAGTGACATATGATAGGCTATAATGATTTACTTCTGCGGTATCTGCAAGACTGTTGTCTCACGCCAAATAGACCATATCTTGTGATCAATTGGAATGATAATATTAGGCACATGCACAACAACATGTTTAAACATGCAAACCCGCCAAGTTTTACGCCTTGAGACGAGTCAATATGAGTGCGCACGAACTAAGGCGAAAATATTGAAATTAGAAATAATTGGAAATTCTATTCAAGAGATTGAGACATGTATTAAAAAATTACGTAAATTTACAAAAATCATTAAATGGTATAAAATAAGATGGGAGATGCTACTTATGATTAAAACTCAATATACATGCCGTAATTCGAAAAATCATATTTGCATCGTCGAGTCAAGCTGACGATCTACAAATTGAGCTATCAATAGTAGGTTAATTGGTAAAACTTTAAACGTCCGAACTGATCTGGTTCACTGATTGGTTCGATGTCAATGTGCTTAAATCAATCGGGTCTTACCATGCATTAATTTATATATTCCATGTTTCATTGATATCAGCATAAGCATTAAAATAAAAGTTAAATTTCTTAAATTTCGTATACGATGAGCGCTGAAAACAGACAAGCAGACAATCGAATGGCCACATACGGCATGGTTCAAAGGTCGCATTTAGGATAATATGTAAACAATCTAAACCCTTTGTTTGAGCTCATGATTTGCAAAAAGTTGAGCTAGACGTATAAAATCAGCCCTAAAATTTCTTGCCTGAAAAAGAGATCTGTGATTTTATGACACAAAACATCATAAATCCGAGCCCTTTTGTCACCCTGGCAACCTCAGAGGCACGGATTCCCTGCGTTCAACTTTGCAAAATTTTTCCTTTAACTTTGAGAACGAAATCATAATTTTGCGAGCATTTTGATTAAAACTATTTGGAATTCAAATGCGACTTTTATTTTAAGATACGCACTATCTATAGACTATACCACGTTTATCCTTGCCCATTCAAGTTCGGCAACTAGAAAGCTACAATGTGCCAGGGTGCATTCCAAGTAAATGAGACGTTGGAGCTACAGTATCATGCCTAGGTAAACTTGTGCAAACACCAGGCCGGAGATCTATGCACATAATCCACCCTGTATGCTGATTTGTGAACTAGATTGTGCTTATACACTCAATAGTCCTATCCGTTCTAGACTGGTGCATAAATGGAAAAATCCTGCGGTGTTCCGTCTGGGGAACATCCTGCGGTGTTTCGTCTGCGAGTCAAATTGAGATTGGGAAAACTACTCACTGCTCAGAGCCAGACTGGTGCATAAACTATAATATCTCGTTTATATAAAAAAGTATACGGTATAATTTACACTCTATGGTATTAACACCACTTAATACTCCTTTTATAAATCTTGCTTTTATAACGCAAACAATAAGATATATTAAATCTTGGCCGACATATTATGCTGTTCGGAAACTAAACCCACCGTATGAACGTAATTAAAATGACAACTCATTATACATATTATAAAGGTGCCAGTTTACACATTTTAACCTAAACACACCAATATCGCTAAGTTAGCGATTGATTATACAAATTACAGTATACAACAGTATTTGCAAATATACCTTTAATTTAACGTCCGAATCTAGCCTTAATGTTATCTGATAAAGATCTGTTCCGTGCCAAGTCAGTGAATTCGTCATCAAAGCCGTCATCAGGGTCAATGTTATCTAATAGTCCTACCCCTTCGGCACCCTTTGTCTGAGGAGACGACTTTGCTCTAGATCTTGGCTTCGCACGTGCGTCATCGTCAACTTGAGTTTGAACTATCTCGTTCACAGTCACAGATGTTTGGATCTGCTCGTCTTTTGCTGGCACTAACTCCTCAGCACCAAGTAAACCAGTGTTCTCGCCCGCACACGTTTCCTTTTTCTTTGGAGCAGTAACATTCAATTCTCGATATTTCATCGACTTCGTCGTATTTACTTTATACGCGCCTACAGCACTTGCTTCTAAATCTTTATTTCCTTTATCTACGTTCGCCCGATTCGGTTTGCTCGCCTGAGTAGCATCCCCATGATAATCAAAGGCACGATTAATCGCATTATAGAAATCTCTAGCCTGACTTTGGTTCAGGCAATGTAAAACATGAACAGTGGCTGTACTTTGAGACGGTAAACAACATAGAAGGATAACAGCATTCGGGAATTTTGTCTTTTTACTAGAGCAGTAAACGGATTTCACGCTTGTAAGTGCGATAATGAACTCAATATGGTGTGTGACGACGTCTCGAAACATGAGTTGGTTAGTATCAACCGTTATCGTCAACTGAGTTGAGTTATTTATGTCCCCATTATACATATATTTTGAATATATACCTTCGACAACGGTGTCTAAATCGTTGTTGTCATTCTGAATCTCTTTCCTCCCAAGATAGTAGGTTTGAAAGTCAATCCCGGCCAACAGATTGTCTTCCTCGTTGGACAATAATCGCAGCGACTGTTTTCTCGAACTTTTAATAGCGAGCATATTCAGTCAAATATTTGGGTAATTCTGCTCAGTTCACTCGCTTCGTTTGTTTATATTCGGCTTACTTGTTCTTAATATGGTCTTTCAACTTGAAATTTATTCAAGAATCGAATCGTTTATAGCCAAGTTTTATCGCATGCGAAAGTGCATGTAAAGCTGAGACGATAATTTACAGACTGGACAAAGGTTAGCGGTCGGCATGGAATTCTTAAAGTGACATAAAGTAGTTTCGAATTTCATTTATGACGCGTATTTGCACGAATTTATTCTCTGCTCTGTCTCAACCGGATATTTGCGGGTAATATTACACTGTTGAAAACTTGGCAATTCATAAGAGCAAAATATAAATGGCATATACAGTATAGCTACAATTAGATAAAAAATCACAGCACTGGGCACCTTAACAAAATACCACGACCACGTGATGAACTATGGTTTTACCCTAATAGGCCTTCCTGGTAATCCTTAGAGGATAATTACAAATATTTATTTATTTAAAATCTTACTAGGAAATACCATAGTCATGAATAAGCCGTAATGATGTCAAAAGTCAAGGACTATAGGGGACCTCATTAATAGCCCACATCAGGCTAAGCATAATTATAATATATAGGCGACAACACAAATCTACTAAAAGTGCACAATTTATGTTGCGAAAGTTTTTATTGTCCAAAACGGAAGAACACTTCAGAATGTGAAAAACTCTCTTTGTTTGAAGATTTTTGCAGTAAGTCTTGCAATATTTCATGTTTGAATGAGCGAGTGAGTGACTTCACTTGATATAGCTGCTCAGTTTTAATTTTGATCGAAATTAATAAAAAACGTCAGTACGTGTAGCTGAAAAATGCACCATGATGACATCGTCAAAGGCCGTTTTCATTACCAGAGCTCACAAGACAATGAAAAATTTTCTTGTCCGTTCCAATCCACGGATAATTTTCCTGAGTGGAAACTAGCCTTAACACTGTCGGATTCGTTGGTCACGACATTAGTTCTAACAGTCACTGATAAAATAGCCTAAACATTTATAATGGTAACAAGAAGCAGAAACATACGGAAGTTATCGAAAGAGAAATGAACCTTTGTTTAAACGTTGCTCCTGAGCAGCAAACGAAGATGTCGTGACCAGCGAATCCGGTTCAGTGCTGAACATTGGGGCCTACATTTGTGTGCACGGACAAATCAGCCAGTGAAAAACCTCTATATGGCTCTATAATATATTTCGATGAAAATATCAACTGTACCTTATTATCATATGATAGAATGCACTTTATTGTATGAATTTTTCAGGTAGTTGCATCCATATCAATAATCCGAAGCTTTCTACTTTATCTAACTCGTAAAAATAGGAATGAATAATTTGCATTCTGTTGCCGAACCCATTAGTTGAGGGTCTAGATGGCCCGGGGGTCTGAGAATCGGTAGATAAACAGTATTTTTTCCTCACGATTCACGCTAAATTTTAAGTGTTTTCACGACTGCTGGTAACCGAAATTGAGTGAATCACGACTCACGATATAACCCATCAACACCCTCTTAGTTCAATTAGTTATTATCAATGAAGATACAATGTACCCGGTACAATGCAGTCATGGATGAAAATGGATGGATTCATAAATTATTATCTTTTATAAATATTATATTTCTTGTCTGCCCAAAGTACTTTCCAAACCACCAAAATTGTAATATTCTACAATTATATTATATTATTCTACAATGATTTTGTGGATTGTATCAGGCCGGGAGAGTCAGGTTTTGATGTATACGCCGACGACTCGGTAATTTAGCTACACGGCTGCAAAAGTGTAGAAACCATTGAAGGAACATTAACAGCGGACGTGAAACACGTTGCTAACTTGCTATAATACTTTGATGAAAACGAATGAGGTTAACGGTTACGTTATTCGGAACGGCGAAGAGGCTGTCATTACAAGGAGTTAAGACAACAGCTGGTGTTAAAATTTCGCGGTATGACGGTATTAATTTAAACAATGCAGCAACATAGCTGATACGTATCTTAAGGGCATGTGCTAAAACCTGGACGATGGACTGGACGATGGACGCTGGACGTCCATCTAATCGTCCAGGTTTTATTGGACGACGGACAAGTTTATTTAGCTACAGCCGTCTCAACAAATTCAGTCTCCAAATTCAGTCTCTGGCTATCACTTCGTCACTATACTATCAATTTGACACACCTTAATGACCTTACTTACTTACTTACTTACTTACTTACTGAAATTGCAGCCCCCAAGTTTGGCACCGCATTATATTCTGCATGTGAGTTTGTCCGTTTGTTAATGTGTTCGCATCAATACGTTTCCTTAGGGGCCGATTACATGGAGCATTTTCAACCCCGGGGTTGAACTCAGCCCTGTTTACCGGGTTGAAATTTCAGCCCTGTCTGTAATACAAAACTCTATCAAAATCAAACGCGCCATTACATGCTAGCAGCCGGGTTGAAATTTCAACCCCGGGGTTGAACTCAGCCCTGGGTTGAAAATTTTGTCATGTAATCGTTTCAACCCAGGGCTGAAATTATCACATGAGTTATTCGAGCATACGTGGTAGTGACTATTTATTACAAGAAGACAAAATAAAGGCTTTTTTTACTTCCACTAATCGATGCCGCGAACGTATAGTATAACGGTTTCAACCCCGGGGTTGAAATCGTCCATATAATCGCAAAAAAATTCAACCCGGTTAACCGGGTGAGTTCAACCCCGGGGTTGAAAATGCTCCATGTAATCGGCCCCTTAATCGCCTAGTAAAAATTCCTTGCACGTGCTCGAAATTTATTCATTTTTGCGGGAAAATTAATTAATCTTGGACTCTCAGGACCGACTGCTTGCTGGGCTTTATCTCTGGTTTTATGCGCCAAACATGGACAAAAATACCACTGTTCGAAGCAGCCGCGTAAAGGCTAATTTCCACTCAGGAAAATTATCCGTGGATTGAAACGAACAAGAAAATTTTTCTTTGTCTTGTGAGCTCTGAGTTGGAACTATTCCCTATGTAAATTTTCGATGCCAAAAGCTTCATGCGAGCATTAGGAAAATGGCGCAATCTGATTGGTCGAGAGATTCGCCCAGATTCGCCTAATTAGCTGTCCAACCTCCTCTGATTGGGCCAGCAGACAAGAAAATTTTTCTTTGTGTTAAAGTCATTAAATGACTTTAACACAAAGAAAAATTTTCTTGTCTGTTCCAATCCACGGATAATTTTCCTGAGTGGAAACTAGCCTTAAAACGTTGTATTTATGGATGGGAAATTGATTTCAAAATTGATTAATTTAATTTCTATTCCAGCGATTCATGGGTTTTGAAAGACAAGCCGCTCAAAATAAAATATCACCCTTCGATTCAGCGTAAGAAATTGTACTTACGGATGTCAAATGTATTACTAAACAACAGTATTCTAGCGATTTATGGCCTTTGAAAGTCAAGAGAAATTGTTTGTTGACAAATCGCTCAGAATTATTAAACTATAATTAAAAATGCAGTACGTATTAAACTTTGGTATCGTTGGTTTTCTCTTTTCGGCCGTATACCAGTATATTCATACACTTTTCTCTTCATTTTGATAGTATTTCATGTGCTAAAACCCGCTGCACGATTGACGTCCATCGTCCAGCGTCCATTTGTCCAGTTCAACGTCCAGGTTTTAGCACATGCCTTTCTTAAGTGCCTATCACTGCGGGATAATAGCATATCACTGCGGGATAAGAGCCTATCACTGCGGGATAATTCAGTGATAAAGGCTTGTAAGGATCACCAAACGATGATTCAACCTATTATGACATATACGGGAATGCTGAAATCAACATTTTTCTGATACACAACTGAGTAGGATGAACCGACAGTGAACTCCGAGCGGTGCGAAACATGACTTCAAGCTCGGAAACTCTGGTGCCTTCTACTGTACGGAGTCTGCACAAGAGAGCTTGCAAGACACTAAGGCAATGTATACTGTATAGCCGATAAACAAATATGTAACAATTGTAACGATTACTTTCAGATTAATGAGCATAATTCCAACACTGCACCAGAAATGAGGGATTCAGCGTAAATTTTCCTGAAGTGAATTGGAATTTGCTATAGGCAGTCCAGTTTTATTTCCATGGTGCCAAAATTTATAATTGATCTGCCTATTGAAATCATACAGGAACAAAACAATGGCAAGTTCCTTAGACTGAAGTTTTTTTTATAGAACTTATAGTTATACTCAATCCCATCGGTTGTTTTATATAGATTATAGGTTTTTGTATTTAGATTTTAGGGTATATTTGTATATAGACTATAGTTATATATTTTACATGTAAAAGACGACACCGCGTTTTGGTGACAGTGTCATTATAGAACACTGAAATGTTTTTAATCCTCTGTAAAGATTGAATAATAATAATAATAATTATAATATTTACACGGGGAAAAATATTTACACGGATTTCATCACTAAATCCGGCCATAGACATGGTATATCTATTCTACTATTTCCATAGGAAGAATAATTATTAAGTTTGAAACAATTTCCAGTGATATATTGGTGGAGTTTGCAATCAATCCATTGAGGAAGCGGGCCGGACACATCGGACGCGATTCTTCAGCTTTTAGAATTAACAAAACAGCCAAATAAAACGGGAAATTTTAAAAGATATGGTATGTAGACCAAACAATTAGTCAAAATGTTACTCGGCGCTGCTAAATATTAGAATCACGTCCGGTGTGTCTCGGCCTTTAGTATAATTTAGGGACTATATCGATATAAGGGCTGTTTACTGATGCCGTTTGGCGCCAGGTTAGAAGGCAGAATGATGAATTTTGATGTATTGAAATACGTTACTGGGCTTTAAAGGAAAGTTAGATCGATTAATTAAAGTGAAGAAATCCCGGTGTTGGAGGGGAGATCTCATAGTTCAAGAAGATCATTATTGCTGCCGTTGAACAACCTTTTGTTTAGAATTATACTATATATAATCTTTCACTAGAAAAATAATACAGTTATGCTGAATCATGAACCATGACTTTAGCGAATACATGAAAATCATCCCGCCCCTCATCCCGTTGATAATCTCGTACCAGAAAATCGGGGAAATGTGAACAGCCCCTAAGGCGACAGGACTGATATGGCGGCCTTAATTTAATTTTTGGAGAAAAACACGTTCCAAATAAAATAGATCTGACTAGATAACGTTCCCGCTCCGGCATGGCGTCGAATGCATGCCAAGAACAGTTTCTGATCATGATTTCGTTTATTAATTTAATTAATTAAATATATGACAAGTAATCCACAAAAAGGATTTTTTATCAGTGGATCCACATGCACCTGGCACGCATGTGCAAGTTACATATCGCGCGGTTCAAAGTCAAGTCTGTTCCAGCCTGGTTATGTTGATATGTATAGCAATTTTCAGTCAGCTTGACTGGTGTGGAGCCACTCAGAGTGCCATTGTCTAAAATTATTTCGCCTCAGTTCGTTAGAGTGCTGCATCGTATTCGCAGGGCCACAGGTTCCATTCCTGCCAGATGGCTTCATAGTTGCGTTTTCGCAGCTGCTCCTGGTAAGGTCAAAATACAGTAAAAATACTCATTAATAATTCACAAACCTTGAGGCAAATCATGTCAGCAATAATATGTCACGTGGAGTGACTTTATATCTGATAAAACTCATCTTCATTAGCATTCTTTAGTATAATTCTTCATCCTAATTAGTATGATTATATAGGCCGTATTCCCTGGCCCCAAAAGTCGCTTAGAAAATGATTTTTGTTGCCCCCCTTCGGGCACTACTTTAAATTTACATGAATCTATAGATTTTTATACGCTGAGTTCGAATTTACTTGTTGTCACTCGCACAAACCTGCAGTTTTTTTGTATTTTACGAT